CCTCGTGTTTGCCTGCCCCAAATTCCCCAAAGTCGAATTTACAAGTAAAAATTGGAATGGCATTTCGCAGTGCCAGGATTTGTGATAGGGTGTCTGACCGTGGAATAATTTTTGTTACAAGGAAAAAAACCCTTGTGACGTGGCCTGTAAGCGTTCTTTGTGTAACTTTGCATGCTGGTTATTAAGTTATGTTGTCCTGAAAGAGGAAACGCTCGCACGCCCACTCAGAGCTGCTGATATAGAATAAAGCTAATAAGATAATTTGATCCCATTAGAGCTCTATTATATTCCTTGTGAATCTTCATTTGAAAAAAATGTGCAGCGGGGATTGGATTGTGCGTTTCAGCACGCTCCTCGATTATTTCCGTCCTGCGTCCTTGTGACGACAGAACAAACTGCGCATAGCTTCTACGCCTTCATCACCAGTTTCCAGTAACTTACGTCGCCATGGTTACAAGCCTCGTGCAACTTCCGTTATTTGCAAAAGGCTGGGACGTAGGCCATTCGGCGACGCGTAGAATTTCCAAGAATAATTTGCGCTGATTACATGAACGGTGGATGGAATACTGAAACAAATGAACGGCAGCCCGCCGAGAAGGAATCTGCTCCAATGTCGCAGATGGAACTCCGATGTCAGGCACTTCAAAATTCGTGGTTAAAATCTATCCTCGCTGTTAACGTCGTGTCAGAATTTTATTCTAGGGGTTTAGAAGCGCCGACAACGTGAGCTTTGCGATCTCACACGAGTCCGGCCTTTTCAAATTATACGATGAAGTAACAAAATTGGAACAGAATTCAGGCCCTCGCTGCGGTCCGCTGCTGGTGTGGACACTGTTTTTGGGTGATGGCGCGGAGCTCGGTCTAGATGTGTGCTGTATTGCCGACCTGAAGGATGTCAGAAGTGCAGCCAAGAACAGAATGAAACGCGCTGTACACAAAACAATGGTGTACAAACCTCTGTGGTAATTACACATTAGCGATGTCACTCTGGAAAACTGAAGGCCCTGAAGATGAAGACATGGAAAATCTCCGAAACGTCAGTAGTACATCTTTCATCCAGAAATAGGGTTCGCATTAGCGTTGGGTAGGGGAACACCGACATGTTTCTCTGTTTGTTGTTGAGGCGAGACATGGGTCTGTTATGCGCGCTCCTTTGCCGGGTTTGTGACGACGCCCACACATGATTTTCTCCGCCCCCGCAGCCACTGGCTGCCAAATACTAGCGAGATGTGTGCCAGTGGTATGTGAAAATGACCCACTTCGGAATGGCATTTTATAGTCTGTAAAATTCGGTCTGTTTTTAGTGTTAGGCCGGAGACTGTTCCTGAAACTTTATGGCTCTCTCCAGAACGGCTTCCGTGGGAACTTGTACTGTTGTTCCAGATGTCCGTATGTAGGTCCCCTCGGAACTCAAAACTGACCCATATATGAGTTGAAAACACAGATCGCTAACTGCCTACCTACTCAGGCGAAGTGATGTCCCCATGTGGCGTTTCCGATGCAGACCAACTTCGTCATGAAACGAGCGACTAGAGCCGTGCTCGTTAGGCAACTTCTCCGACACAACGCTGAGGCGGGCTGTCTAAACTTCAGGCGATATCCATTCTTCGCTTACAAATATAGCAACGATTGTGAATTTTAATTTTTTTTTTTTTTTCCCATTCTGGATTTGTACTTTGTATATTTCCATGGTAGTAAAATTCGTGAGTTTTATTATTAAAAAGCGACAAGTAATTAGCTTAAACCATTAAGCCATGGGTTTGATTCTTATACAACTTTCGCATTTCTGGATGAGCTGCTTCGAATGTTAAAAATTATCGTTTCTGAAGACTTTATAGTTTCCATCTTCAGGGCGAATGTGCGTTTGAGCCTTGGGTTATTTAACGATACGCTTCCAACTACAGAAGTTGTGTTTACAGCGTTAAGAGTGGCGATGTGCAGTAGATCTGTGAACCAGGGCGAAGATGGACCCTTCCTTCTACAGTAAATAGAGGATTATTTCCTCCTCCAAGACGTGGTGACGGGGTTCCCACTCAACGCCGCCATTGTCTTGTCAGGATCCGGAGTTCTCTGCGTTTGCGAGGAATGCGTGTCTCTGTGGGACTTCGTATTTGTGGTTCCCGTACCTAACGGTGCATGACGGAAATATTTGGGGGTGTAGTGTGGCCACATTCCACACGAGAAAGGGTTGGCCAGCGGGTGGTCTCGCAAAATAGCCTTCATAAAGCTTTGAGAACTGGTCAGGCAGGATTCTCGACGAACTGTTTCAGCCAAATTCCCTATTCTTCATGAGCTCGTGGAAGGGACTTTTTAACGCTGTGAATTCACGCCGGTTATAATTGGACGTGCTTATTTGCAGTCGAGCCTTTCCGATTTCGACAAAACTCGGCGTTCTGAACCTCGCCATTTCCACGTTGGTTCATTTCTTCTCATTATAATCGCCATTTGACTGAGGACTAGCTGAATTTTTTTGTCTCTTGAATGCTTTTCTTGGGATCGCTAAGTTTTCGTTTGCAGAGTGATGATGTCGGAGCCCAATTTACGTTGGTATTCGGTGTCAGAGGGGAAGCCCCGTACTCATTGGAGTTTTAGGCGCGTCCTGAAAACGCGCTCTGTCATAAAACAAAGTTTTTGGACGGACAAGGCTCTCTTAATAACCAGCCACATTTTTACGATCCCAACTATTTATGTCATTTTGACTATATCGAAAATATTCATAAAAACGTGCAGGCAATTCAGACCTCTGGGGTGTGTGCCCCATCCAACCATCATTGAAATATCGAGATCTGCTTGCAGGAAGTGGGATCTGATCTTTCACGTAGTTATTGCAGTTTCTTAACTTTCCCTCTCGATTCTCGATTGCAACGAAGCGAAGGCAATTGCCCTGCTGATGCGACAGCTCCCATTACTGACCAGTTCAGCGGGTCAGTATAGAGAGTCTGTGTAGGAGTCATTTGACAGGTACGTCGTTACGATCTCTGTAACGCGTAGAATTCTTTATGAAAATGTTCGAAGCGGAACATGGATCAAAAGTGTGTTAAAACTCTTCTCGTTAATTTGGTTTACGTTATGGTTCCAAAGGATTCGGCAATGTTTGTGTTTTCCGCTGGACGTTTTGATAGTGGCTTTCTGAGTTGTGACGCCATGAACTCTGTAGATGATTACCGACGTTTCGTAGTATCACATCGCCAGGGCTGCCGGCGATCAGCGGTCCTCTGTCTATTTTAGAGTTCAGTAAACAGGACCCCCGTCTTGTTTCTTCTTTGCAGGGGAGTATGGAGGATGGAGTTCCGCCGACGGACACTGACGGCGGCTGGGACCTGTCCGCGATGCGGGAAGACGACTTTGAGCAGCACGTCGTGTACATCGTGCCCGACCTGCCCACGGAGGCCGGATGCCCGAACCGCGCAGAGAGCTCGCTGCCCCGTAATCTGGTGTTGAAGCCGTCCCAAGCCCTCAGCGACGTGAGTAACGACCATCGCTGGTGCTAACATGGCTGCCGCGCGAACCGCCTGATGAATTTTTATCGAGACGGATTTCCCTGAAATTTCGTATCATCGTCATTCTGATGCAGCCTTCTGAAATAATGTTCATATTTCTGGGTACGTCGGTATTTGAGCCGAGGGGCTGGGAAGGGGGCGGGTGCCGCCTGGGATTTACGTAGCGCATCGATGGCGATGCTTAAAACCAGGAACACAGGCAACGCATTAGGGACTCTTGATCCTGACAGTCGCCTAAAATGAGTTTTATTCTAAAATTTTCCTACCGGTGTAAAAAAAATTTGTCGCTGTACATGCAATAATTGTATTGTCATGATTCGGTCGTCAGAGTCTCGTTCGTGAGAACTCTCTGCTTCACGTGAAAGGAAGCGTGATGTTTCATTAAGGTTCGCTTTGCGCTTTGCTAAGATGGAAGCCGCCGCGGATAAGAAATATTTTAACCTCGAGCACCGTAATTAATATTTTCGTTGTTCCAAACAACTTTTTAGACTGCGCTTCATGTTTGCATAGAAATTATTCGTTGTGAACTAAGGATTACAAGCTTTAGACTGCGTAAGCGACGACGCTAAGGCTTCTGTCCGTCCGTCCGGTGCCTTTCAGTCGTGCAAGCGCGCGGTGTGCTGATGTGCCGGTCGGCCCGCACGCCTTATCGAGCCCCCAGCCCCCAGTGCGAGCGCCACGTGTTCCCGTAAAGTTTAATGTGGGAATTTTACTACTCTGAACAGAGGCTAAACCACTTGTTGCTCAGTAGGTCAAATGCGACTCCCACGTCGGGTCGGAAATGTCAAGGGTTAAAACAGCTACCGGAATGCATCGGCCAAATCCGTTCCTTGTTCGTAACACATCTCGTATTTGTTCTATTTATAGCTTCATCGGCTGTATTGAGCGAACTGGCGCTCAGTACTTTCAGTTCTCGGCTAAATGCCTGTATAGAGAAATGAAATAGGCCACGGCTGTCCGTCGAGCGAACTGGGGTTCAGCACACGCCCCCTTTGAATTAGTTGCGTCTCGCGGATGTCAGCTGCCAGAACAGGGTTTTTCGGGCACCTCAAATGAGATTCAGTAATGTTATTTTTCCATCTACGTCTAGGTCTCTCTGTCGGATTTGCTGACCTAACTTCCGCACGTAACTTTTTAGCGAATTCTGTTGGTCAGGCGAGAAAGTAAGGCGATAGGCTACCAGGTCATTGATAATGCAAACAACGATGAAATGTATGTTGTCGTCGTTATACAACTTACGAAGTGCCGTTCTGTACGAACATTGGACGGAACTGCTTTTGAACACTCACGTTTCAGGGGACAGAAACGGAACATTTCTTACAGCTCGGAGTATAAAAGCGAGACGAGTCCTTGCCGTGATCTTGATTCAGGTTGAACTTCAGAATTGACTTCACACTCAGTAGTTATAATGACACTGACGGTCTGCTGATGCTTTGGTTTGAAAGCCCGAAGGGAGATGAAGGCGAGGATAATATTAAAATTGGATATCGTGTGGATTGGATTCATCTGGCCGAGAAAAGGAAGTGGTGGCGCGGTCTAGTGAACACGGCGATGAACCTTCCCAAGAAGGTTTGTCCTTCGTGGAGTTAGTTAGTTAGTTAGTTATGATACTCGTGATTATAGCATTCGACTTTTGTGGCGCTCGTGTTCTGCCGAGTTGCTGTCAATCTCTGGTATAAATGGCCACCTTTGTTGTTGCTTAAAAAGTACCCGAGACTCTGAAATATCAAAGAAAAGATAGATCGGTTTAAATTTAAAAATGCAGTTCGCAAAACTTTAGCATTTACGTTTGCTTAATGTGCCCGACGCCTGTCAGAAATAACGGAGGATTTGCTTGCGTTCATCTCAGTGTCCGCGCTAACAAGGCGCGTCGTTACTAGTTTGTTGACAGTTAGTTAGTTAGTTTGTCGCTGAAAAAGATCTTCCCGGAAGCTGAGTTACAGAAGCGTCGCTCGGGCGTGTGACAAACATGGGACCGAGCAGCCATCCACCTTTTGTGCTCAGTTGTCGTCGTCGTTTGCCCCATTTAACCGCCTAGTTCTGACGAAATCAGGCAAATCAGAAAAGTTGTTTGATGGCGGATAGACGAAGAAACTGCATCTCGACGCTCGGTTTACTCTCGCGAGCCAATAGGAAACGTGACCTTGAGGTTGCACGCTCACGTGCCACTTCCAAGAAACACTTTTGACGAAAATAACAGTTCTCTTGGGTATTGTGTAACTTCTGCGTTTAATGAGCGTCAGAGAAGAGCGAACGACAAACATTTGCATGCGAAACGATGAATGGCATTCAAGATCGCCTTTGATCTTCTTGTTCTCTTTCAACGCGGAAGAAAACAGCTCGCACTCAGAGGAACACAAAAGTTGCGACAACAGATCGTTCTGTAATCCGGACCAGACCGGAAAGTTGTTTCAGCGAACACTGAAACAAAGTGGGCCCGAAGGTCAGGGAGGATAGGATAAGGAAATATAATTTTCTCTTAAAAACCTGACAGTCAGGTAATTTCGTGTCTCTTACGGGACCAGAAGGTTCGTCACCGCCATTAGTTCCTATCCTGAGCCACATGAATCCAATCGACATCCTCCCATTGTATTTCTCATAAATCCATTTTAATATTATCCTTCGAGATATGTATCTTTACCACGCGTTCTACGTGCCGTGCTCATCTCACTCCTTGTTGATTTGATGAGCCTGATAATATTTTGTGCTCAGTAAAAGTTATGAAGTTCCTCTTCGAACTGCATTTCCCAAAATAAGCAGCTCATTCTGGGTTGACTGATGCAGATTTTCACTGCCCCCAAAAGCTTGAATGCAGTTTGAAACTCGCTCTTATTGATACAAGGAGTTACGAGGCGTGTCAGCTTTCTCAGGTATAAAGTGTCGATCCCATGTTGCAGGTGCAAGGTGTGTGGAGTACAGGATACATTCCTACAGGAACAAGATTCGGACCTCTCGTTGGTGAAGTTTATGCCAAGGATTCCGTTCCCGATACCGCGAACCGGAAGTACTTCTGGAGGGTACGTGTGCTCTTACAGATTGACGGCGTTCCACACGCAGAAACTGTGGTTGTACTCTAAAAGATTTGCACAAACTCTGTCAGCGCGTCCCTTTTTAGCATCAGCTGCAGAGGTTATTTGCCGTCGCACAGAGTCCATGGAAGATTTCTGTCTGTCACGTGACCGTATCATCTGGACCTGTAACTTTTGTAATAATTTGTGCAGAAACATCTTCTGAAATCTGGGGAAGACTTAATTTCGTTGTAGGTGAATTGAGAAATGAATGTGACTGTAGAAACTCACGCACCAAATTACAATTATTTTTGGTTACGTTCATGTCCGTGGCGTTCTGAAGTAGGAGCTTTAGTAAATCATGAAGAAATTTGAACAAACCTGGACTCATTCTTTACTGTTTCTTATTAAATACTCAAATTTCACCTCGTTTTTGATTAATACCATTTAGTAGTAAATTAGAGCCAGGGTCTGACTGCAGACTGGATGGTCGGGGTTCGATCCCCAGTTGGGGCAGAGGATTTTTCTACTAGCTTCTGCGTCCAGATCAGCTCCGTGGTCCCCCCAGCCTCCTGTCCAATCAAAGTTGGTACTGGGGGTTGCAGGAAGGTGTGCTCCCTCTTAACTCATGACACCAAGAACTTGAAATTATGTGTCCTTTCAAAATTCCGCTGTCTCACGCGTAATTGAAAGAGAATTTTTGATATACTCTGAAACCATTTTTATAATTTTGCGGTTTCTGTTTGATCACCCGCACTTGACAATGGACGCTCATTCACGTTCCCCTCTCTCTCTCTCTCTGATAATGCCATGTTTTGGGTGATCTCTTATTGATTTCTTTCGCAAGTGACAGACTTCTAAGCAGTAATTCGTAGTGAATATCAAAATTCCACCATTTATGGTTTCATTATCGCAGCCCTCTGAAGGGGCTTGCATATGTGACCTTTTTGTCACATTGGAATCGACCGTGTCTGTTGTTAAGCTCCGTAATGTGAAAGCGTCGCATTCAGATTGGCTTGAAAGGTACGACTTAAGTATCTTTCATTTTTTTCATTTACAGACCTTGGGTCAAAATATTTTGTGGGTGCAGCGTTAAGCGCGGAAGTGACGGCATCGACAAATTCTTTCTGTACATAATTTATGTAATGCAATTTCTTGTAATATAATTTATTTTGGGTCTCAAGAAATTTCTTGTTTCTGCGGCATTGTGCTGTAAATTCTTACAAAACTGTGCAACTTAATTTCATAGTTTCTTATTTTAATTCTTCATTACAGTAAAACCTATCAACTCGGCCATTTGTGTGTACTGACCGTTTACGCAGATCAACTTTTTACAATCTCGTCTGACCGACCACCCCTTCGTGCTGTTCCTGTAATTTGTCCAGAAATTAGATGAAATTCTTTCTTCCCGATCTTGGGTGTCGTGCGAGTCCAATTGCTCGCAAAGTTTGCGCTCCGCTCTTACACAGGTTTTCAGGTGGTCTGGTTCTGAGATTAAAAATGCTGCAACGGGTTCGTGAGTCTCCCCACGTTTTCCTCTTGACCGAAACTGAAATAATCAAATGTCAAAATAAAAAGTTTTAGTTTCTGTTTTCGTGAAACCACAATTAACCGTCGCTGATAGGTTTTACTGTAATAATTTTGACTTGCGGTGTTTTGGCTTCCAATTCTTACATGTTCATGTCTGTTCTGTCTTATTTTCATGTCACCTTCTAACATGTACAATCAGGTGCAAATTAAAGAAGAACCAAGACAATGGCCGAAGGTACTTATATTGATTTCTACTTTACAGTTTATAGCTTTTGCGTTTTATCTTTTTAATTATATTTTATTAACTTGGATTGAATGTTCTCGTCCGTGGAATTAATACGGCGACTTCAGAGCCTTGAACCAGTTCTGTAGACCTCGCTGTCCAGTTTATGTTGACGCACACTCTTTAATGAATGATACATAACTTGGTTGAGAGATATTCATCTCATTGGTTGCATTTAGAACACAAGTCTAATAGAAAGATTTATTCATCTCATTGGTTGCATTTAGAACTCAAGTCTAATAGAAAGATAATGAGTGAGTGGAACAGGTATTCGGTATACTCTGAACAGAAAGTACTTCTCTTCCGAAAGGTATTTTTGCAACGGATTGTCCAGGAGATGATGAATGTGATGATTTAGACCAAAATGAAGTCAAAAGTAGGTTTTATTCGAACATTTATTACTTACCTGAACTCAACATCTGGTACTTTATCTAGGATTTTGTACTTGTTTATCCGCCTTACTTTAGTACGTCAAGAATCGAAACAGAAGAGAATTTGTAGATATGTAGGAATCCGTTGCCACAAAAAGGCGCAGGATTTGGTATTGCTGGAAGTTACGACGTCTTGCGCGCGTTCAAAAGGAGCGGCATGGTGAGACGTTACTGGGTGCGGTGAAGGATCAGTGGCTAATATAATATTTAACTTTCAATACAGCGGTATTCAGTTTCGCACAGTAATTAATCAACATCGCAGGCGTGCATCGTCAAGAGAGATGTTTAATGAGGCGCTTCTTACGGCCTTACTGAAATTCATATTTCCTCTAATATGAGCTATCAAGAGAGAATGCAGCAGTTTTGAGTGGACATTGTCAGTCAGGCTGATTCTTAGACTTGGCTTCAAAATATTCTGCCAGCGTCGCTGATTGCGCTGGATGCTTGGACGACTTGTGTAGAACTGCACGTGTGCGCCCCGATGGGCTGAATGCAATGCCGTGGTCCCAAGGAAGAAGGAAAGTCTGTTTATTAAAACCTTTTAGATCACTTCTGGGACCACCGGTCTGCAGTCGTTGCTGTTCGTGCTCTCAGGTTTTGTGGGTTCCTGTACTCTGTGGTGGTGGCAGTGTGATTGTGTTTTGTTATCACATTTATACCTTATGGCCTCCATAAGCCTTATAATAGTTATTAATTCGACAGTTTTAACGCACTCACAAAAGAGCTTTGGGTTTTTGAATTGTTCAGAGATTCATCAGCAATTTTTCTATGGTACAAGTTAAAAACATGACAGTAGTAATGGTGGTGAAATTTTTTGTTGATAAATCAGTCTGTGATTTGAGAGGAAGAATGTTTGTCATCTTGGTCAAAAGTTAAATCCAAGCGACCACTAATGAAATGGTAGTTTGCTTAACCGTAGGGCCCAAGACAAAAACAGAAGTTAGGACACTTCCGGAACACATTTATTCTGTAGTGAGCGTAAACGTGGAAATTGTTCGCTGTGAGGAAACCGAGAGACTCTGATTTAAATCCTGTCCGAGGTGATGAAAGTTAAAACTGAATTTAAGGAATGGCGGTGTTTGTTCGTGTGTGTGTGTGTGTGTGCTGCAGTTGTTTTAAACACTTTTTTAAAAAAAATTATTTTGAAGTCAACATTGGCACTACATGCATTGTTTGTTTCGCAGGTTTACAAAGACAACGAACTTTTCTATTACATGGATGGGTATGATACCAGTAAGTCCAACTGGATGCGTTACGTGAACCCGGCCTATTCTTCGGCGTCGCAGAATCTTATAGCTTGCCAGTACAAGGTATGTGAAATGAACCTTGACATGAGGATAATGTTAATGTTTTAAGCTCAGTGTCTTCAAGTTTAATATAAATTATGATGAAATACTTTTGTTTTCCGCTTATAGATTTTTCAGCTCGCAGTCTATTTGCATAGAACTGCATGTTCTAATTGCAGTACCTTAATTTTTTGCCATTTTGTTCATATGTGTCTACCTTCAGATGTGATAGCAAATAAATAAATAAATCTGCCTGTGAACTGGACAGCCCAGGTTCAATTCCTTATAGCAGCTGTCGGAGTTTTCTTTTCCCTGCAATGTCTGGAACCTTCATGCCTTATAGAAGTTTTGGGCACTAGGAACAATTTCATTTTTGCTTTACAGTCTTTCAGTTCAAACAGAATAGTGGAAAATATGTGTGGCTGTGGTGTGTAACCATGCGTAAAAGACTTGTGTTAATATGGACCTTCAAACGCGTGAAAGCCATCTGCAAGTCTCTCTTTACAAATTCCCTGTTCCAGATTCAACACAAAATTGAATTTCTTTTGCGGTTTTGGTAATTTGTGTTACTTACTGAACTGTTAAATACCATTTTATCACAGTGTGATATTTTGACGTGTCATGTGACTTGACCTGACCTCTGTGTGTGGACAGATGAACATCTACTTCTACACCATCAAACCGATCTTGCCGAACCAAGAGCTGCTGGTGTGGTACTGCCGAGAGTTTGCCGAGAGGCTTAACTACCCTCTGACAGGAGAACTTATGCTGCAGAGGATACGTAAGGAACGAAAATGCACTAGGACCACGTGTGTCCATACGCAGGAACATCTCCTTTCAAACTAAGAGAAATTTGGCTCTCATGTAGAATGCGTTAAGGAAAGGATTAAAGGAATTATGAAGTGATCTTGGGGATATTTTCAAAAGAAAACAATACCTGACAAAAAGGACCATTAACAGATTTTTGCGTGTTACAGCCTCCATTCCCTGAAATCCGTGCCTATGCCTGAATTATAACGCTGAAATTTAGAGGTAATATATACCGTACCATCATACATCAAACATAAGGAGATGATGACTGTCGGAGGCTAGGGAACTTTTTGAATATAAGTATGAAAAAAGAAAACACACCCCACTTACAGTTAGCAACTCACCAGACTTATAGCCACATGCGAGTGCTGTTAAATGGGGTGCGATGTGTTGTGGGTTGTTGCAGGTCAGCAAGTACAGCAGCAGTCCGCAGCGGTTCCCTCCGATCCTTCAAACTCCAGTGAGAGTAACTGCGAGTCGGCTGATCGCGTTGGTGGATATGAATCGCACCCTGTCCAGATTGTGGTGTCCCCTGGCAAAGAAGTTATGCATATTGGTGGCTATGAGCCACACCCAGCACAGCTTACACCATCCCCCAGTAAAGAAGTGGCAGGCCATGGCTATGAGCCGCGTCCGGCGCAACTTACACCCACAGATGGCTCTGTTCGATCAGATGAGGGGTACCACAGCAATGGCTATCATGATGATGGCTTCACACCACCAGAGGACAGCAGTGACTCAGACAGTGACAACAACTACGTTCTGGACTTCAGGTCAGACTCTTTCCTGTTATGTTTATCTGTGGCTCCGTGCCAGTCCTCTAGGTCATCAACCCAAATTGTGATACACAGAAACAGCTTGTACAGATGCCATTCACTGAATGATTGATCTATTAATTTGGGATCTAATTTACATGTTACAGTTGCACAGTGTGGTGGCAGGTCAAACCTCAAGTCACTCTTCTAACTTCATTGCACTAAGTTTGCGTTTTATATCAAATTTCAGCAAGAAACCAACAGAGAGGGAGACGGCTGTGGTCGTAGAACCACCAGACATCCAGAAAAATGAATATCGCAAAGTGAAAATCAAGATCTCAAAAGCATATCATTACAAAACTAAGCCTACTGATACTACAGAGAATGTCGAAGGAGGCGATAAAGACTCGGCGTCTAGCCGGCGGACTCCAGTAACATCTCCAAGAAGGGCAGTTACCCCTACTGATACGGTGATCATTATTGATTCACCACCTCCACCACTTGTACCACAAATTCAGCCATCTAAACTGTACTATGAACCGGATGTGGTAAGCAGGCACAGTCCCCCCACGATGAGCATTCTTGAAAACATCCTGACAAGGAACAGGACTGACACCAACAACAACAAGGACGCTTCGAACCAGAGGGTGCCAGCTGCTTCTCCCCCTCCATCGTCACCTACAGAAATGGCTTACTCATACAAGAAGTCTCATCGCTACGGTGCCCTTCCCTGCAGTCCAGACTCTAGTTCCAGCACAATTAATTCAACTGCAACAACCACAACACAGCCTCTCCCTCCAGTCCTTCCCCAGCCACCACCCCTATCTCCCCAACACCCACATCTAATTCTGCCACCTTTACAACCGGCACGCATACCTCTCCACTCTCCAAGAACACCAACTCCACCCCAACCATCAGTTTACCTCACCGGACCCCAGTCTCCAATTCCGCATCCAGAGGTGACTTATCTGAACGGACAACCTGGCAGTATCCTTCCGTCGGCTCCGGTGTTTAACGGCCATTCACCCTACCCATACAGCTTGTATTCGACACAAAATGGCGGTATGATCCACCACCACAGTCCACCTGGTCCTACGTCATACTCTCCACCTCACTCTTCAAATCACATCCTGGAACGTGGCACTCCTGGAATCCACCACCCTCCACCCATGATTGGTTTACAGAATGGCGGACTTGCAAATGGTTCAAATCCAAATCTGCACCTGAGTCACCATCTGCTGATGCCATTGGCGCCATTGCAACAGCTGTCGCCACGGAAGTGCGAGAGGTCAGCGTCCCCAGACGCGGGAAGCTGTGGCCGCAGTAGTAGTCCCCACAGTCCAAACAGCGGTCATGGGGGCTCCAGAGGCTACAAGTCTCTCCCGTACCCACTCAAGAAGAAAGATGGCAAGATGCATTATGAGTGTAATGTCTGCTGCAAAACATTTGGTCAGCTCTCCAACCTCAAGGTGCACTTGCGTACTCATTCCGGTGAACGTCCGTTCAAGTGCAATGTGTGCCCGAAGAGTTTCACTCAGCTGGCTCATCTCCAGAAACATCATCTAGTCCACACAGGTTTGTCAGATTGCGGTATCTTCCATGTCATAGAACAAATTGTGTTTGGCGCGGGGTGCGTGGTGTGGCAGGAGTAAGGTGCGGACTAGGAAGTGGGCCGCTTAGCTTATTTGACTCAAGTTAATGTTTTTCCAACACTGTAATTTCGTGGCGAAAATGAGGGACATTTGACCAGAGAAATAAAAGAGATAAAATGAGTTGAATGCTGCCCATTCCCCCCCCTCCCCCCAATTGGTCCACTCTCAGACAAGGTAACTGCTGAACTCCAACTATGTGTATAAATATGATTAGTGACTGCGCCACTCATAACATCAGTCCCTGATGATGGACCAGTAAAATAACCACTTTACAACTCTTCCTCTAAAGCAGCGTCGGCAGAACTTTTTGTCTTCGAGTTTTGGAACTTTAAAGCAGCTCAGTTGTCAAAGATGACGAAATCTTTTGTCAGACAAGTGGATTTTGCTACCCGGCATTTTCGGCGAGGTTATTTGTGGCCGAAAAATAGATGCCGGTGTCTGCTCGTTTATCGTACTTCTCCCACTTGGCCTCGTGACTCTCCTATCTTCATAATTGAAATTATTTCTTTTTTTAATCACGTGAAGACACTCAGAATGTTACGGTAACAGTGCTGTAAGAACGTATGGAATATTTAATTTAGAAACATTGGAATAAGTACTTTAAATGTGATCATACTGTCCGAAAGTTACCGAGAACATAAGAAATCGGTCCTGTTGTCATGTGCTTTTATTTGTATAAGAACCTTGTTATATACTGTTACAAATATAATAATTTCCATGTCAATATTATGTTGCAGGGGAGAAGCCCCATCAGTGTGACATATGTAAGAAGAGATTCAGCTCCACCTCGAACCTGAAGACTCACCTTCGACTGCACTCGGGCCAGAAACCTTATGCATGTGACCTTTGTCCTGCCAAGTTCACACAGTTTGTACACCTGAAATTGCACAAACGTCTCCACACCAATGAGAGACCTTACACTTGCCAGGGCTGCAGCAAGAAGTATATCAGCGCCAGCGGACTCAGGTCTGTGTCCTCGGCTACTGGGGCCACTGCACGTTGTGCTTGGGCAGAGGGACAGAATGGGACATTGTACTAACTCATACTTTGTACTCCGAAACGTCAGTAAACTACTCCCAGACTGCACGGTGCAACAACCCAGAAACCTTGTTCGGACTCACAGCTCTGAAAACCTCAAATCCTAAAGAGCATTTTCCCCCCTCCCACTTAAAGCATTTATTGAAGTAAATATTCAGCAAATATAAGAATGTATTGCATTTAAACCAATTTATGAGGAGTAAATGTTTGGTTACGTACGTATATTAAGATGCGTCGCTCGGAAAATCCCATTCATTATTGTGTGGCTGAGCGGACGGTATCCATAACGGTTCTATTTGCTCCGCAGAACACACTGGAAGACGACAAGTTGTCGGCCAAATAACATAGAGGAGGAACTGGCACTGGCAGTGGCTGCGGGATCCCCGCCGGCCTACTTCGAGTATGCGGGCTCAGACATCAGTCTGGGTGAGTGAACACTTTGATGCAGTCAGAGGGACCACATTAATTCATAGCTCGGAAGGGAGGACATTTCAAAAACAATAATGTAAAGTATACAGAATCCGTATTTCATTGCGCGATGTGACCGTTATCTCGAACGCTGACGGCTAGTAAAGCGTAATTTGTGAAACATCTGTAATCCTGAATACTCGTGTAAAACGGCATGTAAGCCAAATGTCAGCAATGTGTTTTAGCCCCCTTTCCTTTCTTAACAAAGAACAAATAGTCATTTGATGCGTAATGTCGCCATTCAACTTTTGAACCAACAGACCAATTTTCACAAACCTCGGTACAGGACACGCCAGTCTCTCCAATTTTTTGATTTCCTGTAATCAGTACTGACAACATGGCAGTAGTAAGGACTTTACATATCAGAACAACATAAAGACAACCCAATGTATGGCCTTGAAATGATGCGTAGTGACCCCGTAAAACAACGTACAAATTTTTTTAAGGCAGCTGTCCGCAAAACGTAAAACACGGAGTTCTCATTTCGCTCTTTTTGGCAGCGATGACTGGACCATACTGTACAGTCCTGTAGGAGATTAATTGGTGATCATCTGCAAGATTGCAAGACCACATTCCATATAATTGTTTAATATTTAACGTAATTCCAAACATAAGTATCAATAAAAATAAGCTTTGTCAAGAGGAATTTACAGTTTCTTTATCTTCTCATTGTCTGTAGGAACTGATTCGCGTGTGGAGAGGAACAAATGACTGTGCGTAGAAGTGAAATTTGGAAGCTTATTTGTCAGTCTATAATCACAATGTCGTTTCCCTTTTTGCATGAGAATGTCATCGTTTTGTACAGTGCTAAACATTATTTTTGCTGATTGCAGGGAGTTTAGAAAAAGAGATTCCTGATATGGATTCGAGGGATTCGTACGATGCTCAACAAACCCAACATTGCATCACGACTGCCAACATGAGCAGTTCAGATGCGCCAAGGCCTAGCGTGATCGAAACGTCACAGCCTCATGTGATCGAGTGCACGTAAACAGTTTTCTGCTGCTCTGGGTCAGGAACAATTTGCGAATTGTGACTCGTGCGTCGTTGAAATTCAGTGAAATACGAGGACACGATACCATTATGGTCGTGGATCTGCAGAGTGAGTTCAAATATCAAGTATTCTTAAATGTGTTGATATACAACATCAGCACAGCCAGTTATTTAATTATTTGTTGGTAACAAAGAAATGTTCCTTTATTTATTTTTGGAATTGGTCAAACAGTGAAATCTGCTGGAAGAAAGAAAGAGATTATTTTATACCGTCGGCAGAAAGCAATTCATACGAAGACTGATGTTTCCTTTTAGTGATAAAGCAACTTGAACTTCAGAAACTGAGTGAATACAGTAGCTAATTTATCCTCGTCCCTTCTGTCATAGTCGTCGTCATCATCATTATCATTATTATTATTACTATTATTATTATTTATGTATATTTTTTGTAAACATTTGTAGACCTCTGTCCTTTCCCTTTTTTTTATACATGAAATTGCAATCGTGTACCGACAATTCAGGGTTTGATTCGTTACCTGTGTGGGATGTGCACTTAAGAGTTTCTGAGGCACGGCTTATCACATGCCTCGGCATATTATCATCTTCTATCACTCAGTTACACTGTTGTACGTTAAAGTAGTACTGTCACATCCCGGGTAAGACGGAACTTCAAATTTTGAAGAAATGCGTCAGGCGGATGCAGTTAGAAAAAGTCAAAAATTTTCAATCTCTCTACAACAAACTCAGCCCTGACATTTGTTTTGTTTCTATCAATATTTATATAAGTGTTTTAATTGGTGTTAAAGTTTGAGAAATACAGGTGAGAGTTTTTTAAACCCTTCCGTGGGCAGTGGGAAATCTACTTCCCACTTCAGATTTCCCCCATATCAAGTCCGTTCCACACACACACATATATATATATATGTATATATATATAAACACACCCGTACATGCAGTTTGCTGCCTTGTTGTAGGCAGTGGGGACATATTTCCCACTGAATTTCATATAATTTGCCTATGAAGAGGTTACGTGAACTAACGCTAAGGATGATGAGTTACAGAACATGATGCGCTGAGCAGCGGCAACACAAATCCTGGCCCAGTAGATGTCACCACTGGCCTGATAATGCTCTCTGTTAACTCAATACTGTTCCTGCCATCAATAATTTTTCTGTCTGTACTAATATATATATATATTATTTATTTATATATATATTAGAATGGTTGATGTATTTTTCATGCACGTTGCATTGTCTACAGATATTTCTCCATCACTTGACTGAAAAGTAAAACTTGTTGGCATTAATTGTTTGATGAGTTGTCATTCATAAAGGCGTGCGTGGGTTTCGATAGGTGTAACTTTTGTAACTGAATGTAGTAAATTAATGTGATTTGTTTGTATAAACACAATCTTAGTTATGTTGTGAGCCACTGCATTGATTGTAAGTGATCCCTCAGTTATTAGACATCAGAGGGTTCTAATTTCAATTCCCACTGCAGATCATTCTCTGCCAGAGCTTAGACTTTGCGGACACGTAGCATACGAGTCGCTCGTCCTCGCACGGTGCTAAGCCGTCGTTCCCCTCTCGCGCTCATAGACCGTGTGAATGGGCTTCAGGATAAATGTGTCGCCGATCAAGGCACGACGTTTTCATCTCGGGCAAAATTCCCCAGAATTAAGACTGTGGTCACACATGTAATCATGTTTGACCTTGAACTGCTCAAACACTGGAGTTGCAGGTTCATATCCTGATTGAGACGCACCATTCAGAGGTAGTAACCATTTGTACGTTGATTGAAAGAAGCCCTTTGGCATCAGACTGTGAACTGATGTGAATTTGTGCTGAATACAGCCTCATTACTTATTTCATGTTGCCAGTCTTGCATTTTTACATAATGTGTAAAATGACAAAAAATAAAATGTGTGTACGTGTACGCGCACAAGGGTCTGGTAGTTTCTGCCTTTGCACTCTGTTGTTATGGTTAATGAGTCACTTCTCCTGGTGTGAGAGCGTGAGATAGAATTTATGTCCGTTGTGGGTGTTTCACCATCAGAATGGGGTTATCAGCTTCCCAGCGTCTGTGATGCCGTCTTACCGTTATTCTTCCGGCTAGCGAGAGCAGAACATGAACCTGTCGTTCAGGACGGGCGAGGCGTGCAAGATTGTTAGTAATCGTCAACTGGCTCATTTCTGTACGCTGTCACTGTATTCCATTTTGCAGAACTATTAGGCACCGTCATTTATTCATCTCTCACAATCCATTATTAATGTCACTGCCGTGTGATGCTGTCTGACTCGGCTAGCAGCGACTCTTCCTTCATTTACTTATGAGAGAAACCGTCGTCGTGATCATTACAGTACGTTCCAGTTATAAATTCTAATTTCCGGTTGTAGAAGTCATCTTAATGGATGTTTTAAGTGTTCAAGAACTGTGATCAGGAAAATATTTGTATCCAGTAGCGATGTGAGTGAGTCGTGTAGTATTTTATATAAAGCACATAGTGTCGTTAAAATAAAAATTACTGTGTTATTTTTACAAAATAAGAGTTGCTTTAATTGTTAATAATTGAATGTTTTTAAATATTAAAGGAATATAGAAATTGTAAACTTCGCTGTGACATTAATGTTCTGTAAGAATACTTGCAGTTGTTTGAGGAATCTTAAATACAGGTTATTTCTTTGACTGTTACGAGGCTGGTGGACCAGGAACGTAGGATGGATTAGTGAGACAAGGAATGTTTTTGGGTGGGACCGAGGACTAAGAAGAGGTGGAAAGTGGATGGAACTGGCTCAGGATCGTTTCAGTGTGAAGAGCATTGACCTTCAGACTCAATGTTAGTTAATTCATTACTGAACGTAGTAAGTTTATTAAAAAGTAGGTAAATTGGGAATTTACTAATGTATTTAACCGCAGCCTAGAATATCAATACAAGTTCTGACAGTCATTTATGTTGAAATGTCAAACATTGTAGAATACGCAAGGCTAGAAATTTTGCGTGGAATTATTTTCGTACAAGCCCGTGTCAGTTTGTGTCAAGTTTCAAAGTGTTATAAAATTTTCTCAGGCAATCAGCTGCTTCAGTATTAAATCAAAAACCAATGTTTCAGAGACCGGTTCTGTCTCCATCGTCAGGGCCGGTGTCTCTGAAACATTGGTTCGTAGAGACCGGTTCTGTCTCCATCGTCAGGGTTGGTGTCTCTGAAACATTGGTTCGTGATTCGACACTGAAGCAAGTGACGGCCCGAGAGGTTTTTATAACATTCATGTGCCACGAAAGATTTAAATCTTACAAAGTTTCAGAATGTTTTCTATTACTCACCGTCTGCGTATGTTAGGTCAGAGGCTGGCGTCGCTTTGTTTCTCGTATATGAGTTTGGAAAGTGACTCGTTTATCTGCCGTGATTCACTCTGATTGAAAAGTACCAGGTTTTTGGTCTTCACGTGCGCTAGATTAGTGCATTGATAGTGTATCCATTCTCACAAAATCGAGCCGACCAAGCCGATTGATTCCGTGCGAGAAAGTTGTAAGATGGCTTAAGCAATTGTCTCCTGTCCGCGTGATGAGATCGGTCTCTGATGAAACCCGCCCCAATTTCTGATGTGTCGCATGTGAAGTGAATGGCTGTACCGACACTTACGACCAATGGCGTGATGGCACACAACACAACTTGTGGTAATGTAACATTATGTACTGTAATGTGCTGACTTCTGAAAAAGAACTTACCTTGTAGAGGTTAGAAGAAAATGTAACAGTTGTGACCCTAACCTGACGGCCTTTAGTGGAGATCAGCAATGACTGTCGCTTGCTCTCACTTCATGATCTATTTTCTAAACATTGTGCTCAACGGTGGAATCTTTTGTTTGTTTGTTTGTTGTGTGATCACACTCCAAAACTTGATGTGTATCATTGTATCACAAAAAAATTGCATTCATTGTTAATATTTAAGATATTATAAGAGTAAGAATTGTAAACTTTGCTGTTACTTTAATGTTTTGTAAAAAAGGAGATGCAGTTTTGTGAGAAACCTTCGCCGCGGACTGTTCGCGAGGACAGCGACCCACCGATCTCGGCCATTGCAACTAAATTGAAGTTCTGTTGGGTAACAAGTGATTAAATTTACTTTTAATTGTATGATTATTTGTGGTCTCTTATGTGTCCGTCATAAGTGCTGGTGGCGCGCGTCGTCCTTTTCTTCAGGTCGCGTGAACAGACTCTTTATGTTCTCAGGCGCACACACATTTCTGTTAATAGTTAGGCTTATTGTTTGCGGTTAATATTTGATCCTTCCGAATCTCAACGACCGATCGATTTCCTGTGCGTTTTGTTCGGTCCGTTCTTCAACTTGTCTGCCAGATGATGTAATCTGCCCCTTTCGCATTCTTGTCGTAAGGAGGGCGTGCGAGCGAGGCGACGTCCCTGTGTCTCCGTAGTATGTACCATGTACACACGCTTGTTGCGAGTAACCGAAATTTCTAGGGGTTGCGTTCCTACAAAGAAGAGAATGATCTCATTTACTCGTTGTAGCAGTAAGACATAACTTGAAAGCTATAAATGAAAATTGCTGTTAACATTTAGAATCAGAAAAAGAGAATATCTAAATTCTTATAAATATAGAATTTGTGTGAAACATTTACTTGTTGCATATTTTGAATTTGCATCAGTTGGCTGTCGCTAAATGTACATTTTAAATATAAATTTTGTGCGTGTCGGCCAACGTGGGAGTATAAAACTAGGCCTATATGGGAAAAAATATTTAACGTATTATATACTGCATTTAGCGTAATTTTGTCATACTGAATTTTGTTAAGACAAATTAGTTTGTATGGAAAGATATATCCAAGAATTTTATTGTGCCTTGAATTTGGAGTAATTTTTAGACGAGGCGTCGATGAAGAAATTTCACGCCCTTTCTTCAAGCCCTGTACCTAACCTAATTTTCAATTTTGCAAAGATTATTGTTGTACATACGTTTTTTTGTTCTGCGACTGCTGTTTTATGCCTGATTGCATAAGAATACAATTGCACATCACAGAATATATTTATTTCACTTTACAGGCTAATATTTGAGTAGAAATGAAGTAAAAGTATTATAATTATTTTAAATATATGTTATCAACTCTGTAGAAAATAGCTTGTGCATTATTTATTGTTGCTGAATGTGAATATTTGTGAATAATTGATCAGTGCTGTACTTTGTAGGATCCGAGGTTTTCGCGGCGGCGAGTCCGAAGGCGGACGGCTCCTGGGTCGTGGCCCCGGCGGCGGCGGCAAGGACCCCCGAGACCTCTGCCGCGACCCGGGAGGCGGCCGCCTCGGCGCTGTACTTTGGTTACATTTTACAAAGCTGTGACAGAAACTCTATGATTCTTTTATACATGTTTCATGCAATGACTTAGAAATAATAAGTAGGAAAAATCTTTAAACGATGCTCAATATAAATGCAAATAAAAAGTCTAGTGTTCTGTGTTACACGGTTTTTGATAATCTTTTAAGAAGCATATATATATGTATATATATGATGATAATAATAATTAAGCTGTCTGGTTATTGTCAATTAAAAGATGAAAATATATATGCATTTTGTTAATATATTTCTTATAAATGATGAAAATTATATAAATTTTTAGATACTTTTGCATGTTTTTGTCCAGCTTGTAAAATGTAGAGTAAGGTTGGCTTTAGATTTTTCATCTCTCACTTTCTCTAAGTGTTTTTTCGATTAATGTGGTATATTTATTGTTATTTAAGAACAGGTGGCACCACCTTCTCTGTGATTTCAAGCAGAGGTCCATGACTGAAAGCCATAATATTTGAAGAAAATAAAATTGTTTATAATGATTGAAAAATGCCTTCATTTCTTTCAGCGACGAGACGAGGTTGGTATACGTGCATGTGCGGGGCATTCTTTATACGGCTGTAAGTCAATATTTTATTAACTTGTGTTATTTTCCCAAATACGAGACTGAATCGTACAGCGACACTTGCAGACTTTGGAACTTCAATATTTAGTGAGTAATTCTCGTTCCATTTTATAATTTACAAAAAATTTATTTCTGAGAATTTTGTATCCATAATTTGACTTGTGGTTTGAATGGAATTATTTTCTGTTTCTTATTTATTTAAATGGTTATATAATAATGACATGCGTCCCATGAAGCAGGAATATTCATGTATCTGTACTTTTGAAATAGACGTGTTTATTTCTGGCTCAGAATAGGTACTCGTGTGAACAAGGCAATGAATATTTAGTTCCATAAGAAGTGGGAAATTTTTTAACTTCCCGAGTGACTTTTAGTTTCTCAAGAACAGCCCTGTTCCATGGAGTCAGTTATTTTCAATATAGAAATGCAAGTTAAAATCTTGATACTCAAAATTTGGAACCTATAGGATTGTTAAGGTCCCGTTTTTATGCAGAACTGCAACTACTGAAACTTAAAACTTTTCATCCCCACTTATATGCATCGTGTCCGCAGTTTCACGAACATCAAAGAGAGACAGAGAGGGAATGAAAAATATTCGTGCGCCGCGCGCTCGTGTGTCGTGAGTAACCGCCAAATCTATGCATAATACAAGAGTTTGGGTGCAGATGTCAGCACGGTGCCGCTGCGTCGGAGAAAAGTGGGCTAGACGTAAGACGTGCAGTGCGTTGTTTTAATTTTGTGCGATTGTTAGGTCAGGAGAATTCGGGAGACTTGTGATTATGAAACAAGTGTCGGCGGTGCACAACGCGAGATATGAAGACGCTCTGGAGGCAACAGTATGTAAACCATTTCCTTAAACGTTACTGTAACTTAACTGTGTTATAATTAATTGATAAGTATTGCCTGTTGAGGTTAGGCGAGGAGTTTCATGAAGTGTCCACTGCAACAAATGTCGCAAGATCTGGTTCCTGTTGAAATTATTCAATCTCCTTATCTGTACGACGATAGAAATAATTGTGGCGTGTAGTGTTGTCGTGTTCATTATAACAACACTTACATGGATGTGTAGGTTATGTGACACACCTGCATTAGTCTGTGACCCATGGATCACGGCAGTCATGTGACTAAGTACGGATACTTTTCACCTACGTTAATAACCTCCGTTGGCGTCTAATTATAATTAAGCCTAGATTTATACCTACCCAGAGTTTATAATTTTCATGGTGATCTTGTAAGGTCAAACTGGGAACTTGATTACGGTATCGAGCTGTTTTATTTAATTCTGCGTTGTGATGATGTCTCGGGCTGGGTGTGGGAGGAGGCAGCCGTGGGTTGCTCCAGAGTTTACGCGAACTGGCCCAGGTAGGTCCATCCTGGCCGGCGTTAAAATGGGGCACATTCTGTGTTTAAATTGGGCGGCGTGGAGGTCACGTACCTCAGCACCACCATTTCAGAGGTCAGCTGGTCAATGCTGTTTACGGAAACAATCGCTGAGACTCACACTCGGAAGGCAAAAGTCAGAGTTATTGATTGTTAAAGCAGATGGTACGTATAGTTACCACAGGATTTTAAAGGGACTGTTCGCAGGCCGGGGTTTGATCCTCCTAGGGCGCGGGATTTCCGTCGTTCTGTCCGTAACGCTGTTCACGAAGCAGCCGCGAATAATTTGTTTCCCATGTGTTGCTGGACCGTAGCACCGTCAGGATGCTGGACTGGGGCTTTAAAGATGATTTCGAGGGGCAGAGAGGACGCACACGTCTTTTCTAGTAATTGTGAAAATATGCCAATTGTCTCAGCTTTAGGCTACGTGCTGTGTAGATAGGCCTACAACGTTTCGGAATTGGTCGCACTCCGAACGCGAGTTTCTTTCTTATTATTATTATTATTATTATTATCCCATTAAATATTCGCCACTTTAAAGGGCATTTACTCCTGTGTACCCGAGACAAACCTTGGCCCTGAGGTACAACGCGCAGCAGATATTTCCGAAATACATTTTGTTTTTAATATATGTTACATGTATTACACAGTTTATTGTGAGGGATGGCTGTATTAATTACGACAGCGTCTTTCGAACGATGTATGAAGATCCTAAAATGGCGGTCTTCTGAAGTTCCCTGACGTCGTGTTCGCCCGGGATGTTGGCCAGATATTTTCTGAGTGACTTGGAGACAGTTCCAGTTGCTCCTATAATTATTAGAATTACTTCTGCCTTCATTTTCCACATTCTTCTTATTTCAATGAGAAGGTCTTTGTATTTAATTATTATTAATAATGGCGATGGCTTTGACGTAACACGGAATTTTCTAGTACGTGAATCACGAATAAAAATTTGTAATATTAAATTCGTAGTAGCTCGAAAGCTGTGCTACTTGGACGCCAGATCCTCCGTTTCGTTTGCAGACATAAACTCATTGAGTCGCGTCGTGGGCGAAAGTGGCGGCTTCCGAGTGTAGGCCTTATCTAGCGCCCGACGCCGGACTTGGGGTAGCCCTGGACCAGGAGGGCGGCTTGCGGTCCTCTCCACACCCGTAACGAGGAATGTCTTTTTGTTTCGAGCGAATAATTAATAAAATAACTCATCACTGAATTTGTTGAAGTAATTTGTGTGTCTTTGCGGATGTTAATTAGTGAGTTGTCTTCATAAATTTTCATAACCCATCCGCAGACTCGTCTCTGACAGAGGGTGGGAACGTTGCCCTAACCTGAGTCAGCTGTGAGGGACCTGACCCAGTCAAATATACATTTTATTTGAATTACAGAGATAATTTCGAAGCACTTAATTCCTCTTTAAAATTATTGTTGTAGCTCCTTCAGTCATTGGCGTCGTCGACTGATCTTAAAACACCTTCAGGTTGCCCTCCGTATTAAAACATGTTTTGTCAGTGGTTGTGGGGCGCAGGGTCGCAGTACTTTAAAGCGTACCTAAGTGCCGACACTTGTCGATCAAGGGGGAGAAATCCGCGTCTTCGAGGGGCACCTGCCCAAGGTTTGGGAATGCCTGAAGGGGAGAGGGGGAAGGAACTTCGGTTGCTCTATTGGACATCGAGATTATCGAAGAATAATTTGAACACAAGCTCCATACCTCCACTTGGCTCCCCGGACACATTTTCCTTTCCTGGGAAAAGCCGTGGGGTGCAGTTCCCCCCCCCCCCCCGTTTCAGCATTTGAATCGACTCTTCGATTTTCATGAAATTTGATTTTCTTGTTATTTTGTTGGTAGTAGCGACGTGTTCCCTGGCGCTTAGCGTCTCGGTCTTCCTACTCGTGCAAGGCCTCGTGCCTTCGAAATGGCCTGCGCTGAGGTTTGAAGGCGGCTGAGATGTAACCGAGGCCTAGCGCCTTCTTTGCCGTAGGAAACGATCGCAGATTCCACCCACTGACGTGTCGTGGTGGTGTTCAGTTGCTCCCTACAATTCCACGCAGTTTCTGAACTTTTCTTGGATGGACCGTAAGCTGACTGAGTGTAGGCCTAAGGAATGGTGAATTGGGCAGAATTCGGAATTAAGAGCCTGCCTTCAGATGGGGAAGCTCACATTTCGGCAAACGGGGATTCCAAAACAAATTCATCTTTTGTCAGCTAAGCCTTGGCTGTTTTTTTGTCTGATAATAAACAGCGTTAACCAGTCGATCGTAGTAACGGTGAAGTGTGGTGTTTTCTTCGCGGTACGAACTGAATTCTTAAATATTAATCAGACAAACTATGTTTCTCAGAATAAACAGCGATTATTTCCTTAAACAGCGTTAACCAGTTGATCTTTGTAATGGTGAAGTGTTGTGTTTTCTTCGCGGTACGGACTGAATTCTTAAATACTTAATTCAGACGAACTTCGGCTTCAGAATGTTTTCGTGCGTTCGTTGAGACACGTAAATCGGCCGCAGCGACCGATTTCAGTGGCGTTCGACAAGGAACGGAGAAATCGGCTGAAGGCACGGCTTCTTAACAGGAGGAAAACCTCAAGCGACGAGACCTGAGCACAGGTGGGCGGGTGATATTAAAATGGAGCTGAGAGCGCGTCTGAAGTTGATTAATTTGGCTAACAGTACCGGAGGCGGGCCGTTTTGAGAAAGGCGACCATCCGCGAGGTTTAAAGACAAGGCATCATAAAAGCCAGAAACGGACTGACTTCGGAAAGGCTCCGGCGTGCAGAGACCGACGTCTCGGATGATGAGAGGCCCTTAGGAGTGTTCAGGATCTGGTCGGCAGGACGACGAAGTTCGATTCCCGGCAGGGGCGTGAGGCGACCGCTTGCTCCCATAAATCCCGAATTTTAGGAATGCGTGGAGTTTTTCCTCACTCCGCCATACGCCTACACGAAGAACTTTGTGCCTGGAAACAAGGCTGGCTTCGTGATTGGCTCATTGCGAGCTCCCACCCCCGTCGTATGATTCATGTACTGTAACTGATGACGTCACCGCAATACTCATTGAACGGTGCATCGCAACTCCACCAACCTGGGTATGAATTTAATACGTGGGCGGGGCCCACACCAGCCAATCAGAACACGAGTTACAGAGAGCCAGTTTTTTGCCATGCAAATCTGTTGACTCACTGGCGGTGT